TGAATTCTGGAAAATGTGTCACCACCTCCCTTAAGACACAATCCTTCCAGCCGCAGCATTTTGAGTAACTTCCTGGGAAGACCTCCCGCCACTGCCCCACTTCGATTGCTGTGGCTTGGTCTGGTCTGAAGCTTCCTATAAAAGGACATATCTTGCATGCTCTGCTGTGTCTGGCTGGTTGCTTAGCACAGTGACTTACATTCCTCTGTGTTGTTGTACATTCCAGTAAGCCCTCCTTTTTAATGCTAAGGGTAAGAATGCTTTGTATGTTCCCCTGCTGGACTTGATTGGTTTCAGTGACTGCGAATAAACTGCTGGGAACACCCACGTGCATATACTTACATGGCTGTTTTCTGTTATCCTGGGGAAGTACTTGGGTGCATTGGAGTTCCTGGGACAAAAGGATGCATGATTAACAGTGTAAAAATCTGCCAGCAGCTGATGCGGCACATGTCTGTGCTCCCGGCTGCTGTCGAGGCTGAGGCAGGAGGAATGCAAGTTTGGCTCAAGTGCAAGCAATTTAGCAACACTTTGCCTCTGAGTGAGAACTGGAAGGGCGGCTACTGTGAGCACTGCTCTGTAGTGTGTTGCCTGGCGGGCAGGCCGACTTGGGACCCTTGCGGCAGCTGCGGTGATGCCACTGTTGGCCCTGCTCTGCTGCACAGGCAGCTGCCGACCCAAGGGGCCCAGCCCTGCCAATCACGGGACAAGCTTCTCTCTCTGAAGGGTCTGAGTTGTGGATTCAGAGCAAGCATGAGTCCAGGTCACACGGAGATCAAGGGCCGAGGGTGCAAAGCTGCAGAGAGGAGCAAGGGCGGCAGGGCCAGGCGGGAGGGGGGCACCCAGTGTCCCCTGGGAGCCCAGGAGGGGGCACCTGTGCTGACCACAGGGGCCAGGAGGAGGTGTGAACTGTATAGGTGGACTGTCAGGGACGGAGCCCTGCTGTGTTGCGGTGAGGTCCACCGTGTATGAAATGGATGTAGAGGCAGCCCTGGGCTGTGGGAACCCATCAGAGCTGCTTCTGAGGGTTGAACCAGGCTACATGCCCAGCCTCTTTTATTTTATTTTATTTTAAAATGTTTTAATTTTGAGACAGATCTCTTTAAGTGTCAGTAAGTCCTACAATGCACACACAGGCCTCAAAGTTTAGATCCTCCTGCCTCAGCCTCCCAGAGTGCTAAGATCACAGGTATGTGCCACCACACCCAGCTAAGGGGTTTTATTTATAAAACCATGTCTAAAAGCTAAATATAGGGACAATTTTATTTTCTTCTCCAAGTTGCATGCTTTCTTTTCTTTTTTTTTTTTTTTTGTTTTTGTTGAGATAAAGTCTCACTATATAGTCCAGGCTGGCCTTGAACTCACAGCAACCCTCCTGCATCAGCCTCCTGAATGCTAGGGTTGTAGGCATGGCCATGGCCAGCACTATTCCTTTCTCTGATTGGCATGGCTGTCACTGGAACAGCAGCGGTAAAGCACAGACTGTGTTCCACAGCACTGTTTTGCCACCGAGAATGAAGAGCTGCAGGCTGTTTGCAGCGACCCAGTTCCCTGCACGAACAGGTTGCCTTCTTGCAGCGGTAGCTCAGCCCTGCATGGACCAGTGTCACCCCGCCTTCTCAAGGGGCCCGAGGCGGGGGGGGGGGGCACCCGCTGTTCTTGAACCCTCGGGCTGTGTGTTGAGGCAACATTCCTACCTCCAAGGCTTCTCAAGTGAGTGTCAGTCCATGTCCTCCTGGGAGGGGACACTGTGGTGTCCCCACCAGCTCTGCTTGGCCACCACACTGGGCAGGCAACCCAGCTCTGCTTGGCTGTGCCCTCCTGTGAGTCTCCTTTGTGGTGCTGGGGACTGATTCCTGGGCCTTCACAGCAAGCTGTATCTCCAGCCCTCTGAACTTCTTCGAGCCTCTTGATTCCAGTATTTACATTCCTTCTGTGGATCTGGACGAGACAGGGTCATAATAACCTTAAGCTTCTTGAGACAATTACAAGGGAACTGGCTCCAGGCACTGTTTCAGAATCAGGTCCCGAGCAGGGAAAAGTTGGCAGCATGACGGCCAGCCATCCTGATAACTTTAACTGAGCCACTGACTGTCCAGCAGAATCTTCCAACTATCTGTCCAAAGTGTAGACGACGGTATCATTGGGCCACTTGATGTAAATTCAGAACTTCCAGCAGGGCCTGTGCAGCAGCCCTGCCCAAAAGTAGGGGTGTGACAACTCCCGGAGATGGCCGGCCCTGCTTGGCCCGGCAGGCTCCTGATGGTTGAGGGTAATACGGTCCTGATTTGTGGTTTGCTGATTCCTGTTTACAAAATGCTGTTACAAAAGACAACTTCAAATAACCAATACGGCAACAACTGACCTTTAAAGCTTCTAAAACTCAACATTTGGCTTTCACTAGCTGGTGACAGGCTGGCTCCAGTGTATCACTATCTCCCTATGGCTTTGCATAAATTCTCAAACTCCATTGTTTTTCAAAACCGTTAATGGGGGGGACGACTGGGGATTTAGCTCAGCGGCATAAGCGCCTGTCTTGCAAGCAGGCAGTTGTGAGTTTGATCCCCGGTACCAATAAAAAGGAAAAAGTCAAAAAACAAAAAACAAAAAACCTGTTACTACAGTGGTACTTGTTTCAAATTCAAGATTAATGTAACTATGTTTATTTAGGTCTTTTCTGCTTTCTTAAGTCAATTTTAGTTTTCAATACACTGTCACTTACACAGCTTGCTAAATTTCTTGAGATTGTCTCCAGAAGAAACTGTAAACTTACATACTTTGGAGGAAACTGAGAAACAGCTTAGAGCAAGACTAGGGAAAAACAAACCAACAGAAATCCGCTGGCCCTCTACAGATTTTAAAGGGTTATTTAATAAATCTGCTGCTTTCTGCTCCTCTCACTGCTTCTTGCAAGCCCCAGGCAGGGGAGGGGCACCAAAGCCTCCACTGAGCCTGGAGTTTGGCCCAGACAAGGAAGGTAAAGAAACAGGTTTGGTCTAGTCAAAACCAAATCTCCTTAGGTTATTGTATCGCTCAATTAGTTATCCTTCCCTTGACAAAAATGGGAAAACCTGTAACTAAACAAAGGTTGCCTAAGGATTTTGGGTCTTCTGATACTCATGACAGAGGTGGGACACGGCTCTGGCCTGCCCGAGCCACCCTGGTTTTTCCCACCACCTGTGCACATGCTTTATGAATCAAAAGTTTGCACTGCCCTGGTGCTCAGACCCCAACATCAGCGGGCCTCCAGCCCAGAGCAGGAGTACCACCTGCCTGGCACAGGAGAGCCCAAGGTACCCAAATATAAAATGTAGTGGTTTCCACTTTCTTTATACCTTAGCACAAAAATTCTTTATAATCTTCAGGTCTAAAACTAAACTAAATGTGCTCACAATTTAAATTTCAAAAACAAGAGGGAGAGTTCAGCCCATAATAGATTTCACTTGGCAGTATATATCACCATTTAAAATATATAAATCCTAGCCCCGTGTGGTGGCTCACGCACTCGGGAGGCTAAAGTGGGAGGATCTTCGCGAGTTCAAGACCAGCCTGGGCTATAAAGTGAGCTCAAGGCCAGCCTGAACTGCATAGTGAGACCCTGTCTCAAAAAGACAAAAAAAAAATGTATATTTAAATCCTAATAAAGATGTAACTACCTCAGCAGATAGATAATATAATCAAATAAATCAAATCTAAAAGGAGTCTGTTGGAATGATCTTCATATTGGATAATAAAAGCACTCAGTCAAGTGCTAATGTGGGGTCGAGGGTTTGCTTGTGTTTTTCCAGGAAGAGCTAAATGACCTATCTGGGTGTGCTGTCCTGCTGTATCATGGGCCCAAACCCAAGAAAGGAGTTGATTCCATCTCTCAAGAAGCAGATGCTCAGTCCTGTGACAATGATGCCTTGGAGACCAGGCCACAACCCATAGAAAAGGGTGAAGCTAGAACCAACTTTAATTAACCCAAGATGCCCAGGAGATGGTAACCAAAAATAAAAAAGGTCCAAATAGATGATAGAAGGGCACGCTAAGTCCTATGACAAAAATATGTTAATTATAGGTAAGATTTTATCTTTTTCAAATTCTTTGATAAGAGATCTCTGCTAACTGACCTACAACAAATATGAGTAGTCTATTTAACATTCCAAATTCTACAAGTGTAAGAATTTTGTGTAGTTCAATTGGGCTAAAATATATTTGAATACACTGATTGTGAAAGAGGTTTCTAAGTGTCTGTGTATCTGTTTGTCCAGTTTGTTAAGCTGTTGCTGGAAGTCGCTGAGCTAGTGATTGCTCACACTCGTGGAGCCAAGAGTACAAGTGCCCCGTGCAGGAGTGTGCAAGGGGCGTGGGGTGCCTGAGAAACTCCCTGAAGACATGGGGTAATGCAGGTGACAGGTGTTTCAAGCCCCAGGACACGGGGTGTAAGAAGCAAGCTAGTTCAGCAAAGGGGTGTGAAATAGCCTCCAGGAATGTGGAGAGGTCTTGTGGACACCAACAACTCTGTTTCTAGTCTGTTTGAATCTGTACAGATTGTTTGTCCATACTTGTCCATTTGTCTGTTTGTGAACAGCTGTTCTTTTTATTTTGAGCTCAGCAATTTTCCTTTGTCCTTTTTCTTTTGCATTTATAGATCATTTAATCAAGGTTTGAGTTATAGAATTACAAAACATGCTTCTACCTGGGTTCCCAGTTAGTCAAAATGATGAAGTCAGTTGTGTAAATGTAATGTGCATTGTTGATTATCAGAACTTGAGAGTCTGGACAACTATTTAGAAGAAAACAAGAGACAACATGATAGACAGTGAAGATCTCTGGTGGTCTTGCTTTGAAATCCTTGTTTCTTAAAATTGTTTCCTTATGATGTTTTATTCTGTTCTGTTTAATTTTACTCTCTTTAAAGTAAAAAAAAAAAACTTGAGAGTCTCTCATTGTTGAAATATAATGTTAAATGTTATGATTGGAGTTTCCTTAAGAAAAATTATAAAGATGCTGAAACAGTGCTCGCTTGGGTAGCACACATGCTAAAACTGGAACAGTACAGAGATTAGCATGGCCCCTGCGCAAGGAGGACACACAAATTCGTGAAGCATTCCATATTTTTTTATTCATCAAAATAAAAAAAAAAACAATTAAAAATCCCTTGGGGTTGGGATTACTGGCCAGGACTTCAGCTGATGAATAAGAAAGTGGCCACCTGGTAATACTTACCAGCTGTTGTTCATTGATTGGAGGCTCCAATGAGCCCCCTAGCCTTATGGGAGACACCCCAACTAAAATTATATAAATATTGTAATACGTTCACATTGGTTGTTCTTAAAAGAAATAATACAAAGGTTTTTGATTTAAAAAATGCCCACACAAAGGTTTCCATATGGTTATGACAAATGATTGCTGTTAACCTCATGGTGTATTCATATATTCATGCTTCTAGATAAACAGGTCTTCAGAAAATGTAAAATAGGGATTATTTATGGTGATAAACTTTTGGTTCAGATTCAGACCTCTGCCTTCAACAAATGCTTATGAGATCTACATCCCCCTGAACGGCAATAACTTAGGTAAAATCTTTTATATATTAGATAGGGATGATTAACCAAAAAGGAGAAATTTGATATTGAAATGAAAATTCAAGTGTGTTACAAAATGTCATCATGGTTTTTATGCTATAACGTTGTATATGGTTTGATTTCTAATTTTCTATATAAAATATGTAACTGTTAATACTCTACAGGTATCCAAATGTTAAAACATTCATGGCTGTTAAAAATAATGGTTCTACTTTATGTTGTAAGATGTTTGATATTTAGATAAGCCGATAATGCCTCTACTGTATTGTACTGTTGTCAGTCTTTTCTTCTGGATGTTCAACAACTGAAGTTTGGAGACCAACAGTTAGAGAGACAGATGGGCTAAGGGGACAGCCAGTATTTTGGCCCCAGCCCTCCAACGTCAGTGAGGACCCAGGACATAAGGGAACCTCTGCTGCGTCATCCTATACTCCGTGAGTTCCTGGTCTTCTGACTAAGAAGACTGTGAGACCACAGAGGAAAGTATTCAATGTTGGGTGTGTGCCTAGGGAGAGTCACCAGGAGCAAAAATCTCCTAAGCTTTCACAGAAAGCAACTTGATCAAGCAATGGCCATGACTCCATCTGAACGGCTGACACTGACAGAAGAACAAAGAGGTGCTGGAGCTGGTTCTGAGGTTCCTGAGGAGACCTAAGTGACTTACTTAACTTGGTTAAGTAAGTTAACTTACCTTAACTTGGTCTTGAACATCCTGAAGAAGATGTACAACTACTAGAGGTCTATGAAACACTGCTAAAGTAATACGCTATAAAAGAAACTCAAGTCACTAATACCTTTTGGCAGTTGCCAGCTATGCTGGTGGCTGACTATTGTCACAGATGAATGCACTGCACAGGCTTTCAATTGCGGAATGCAGGGACTTAAAATCTTCGGACTGCACTTAAAATAAAAGATCTACAGAGCTTCCAACATAGCTCCTCCAGCTTCAACTGACCACCGTCCTGTGCAACAACAAAACCAAAGAGAAGGATATGTAGGGAGCTACTGAGGCTGGATGGGTCACACGTGTGGGGCTAAAGCAAGGCCAGCCCAGGAAAAACAGAGACCAAAACAAGCTATGTAAACAAGGTGTTCCAGCACCAAGGAGGCCTGGGGCCTCCCAAGCAATGGCTGCTGGGCACAGGGGCTGAAATTGACATCTTCTTTCCCAGTATATAAATAAAGGTGCTACAGTGGCTGGGCAGTTCCTTTCCTCCCATCAGGATGAGGGCTCCACCTGACCCCAGCTTTGTCTTTTTTTCTCATCCTCTCATGGTCCTTAACCCCCAGAACCTCAGGAGCCACATTGGGTCACAGCAGTGGTGCATACCTGTAATCACCTCTCAGGAGGCTGAGGCAGGAGAGTTGCTGTCTCAAAAAACAAACAAACAAACAAATAAAAAAAAAAACCCCAAAACTAAATACAATAAAAATGGTTTTTGAGACAAACTTGGGTTCAAACTTGCCAGTCTCCTAAAGTCCCGGAATTACAGGTATGTTGCCACCATTTTAATTTTATTTTTTGTCTTTCTCTTTTTTATCAGTACCAGGGATTGAACTCATGACCACACACTTGCAAGGCAGGCACTTATGCCACTGAGCTAAACCCTTAGCCCCCACCATTTTAATTTTTAAGACAAAGCCTTAGTCTGCAATCTAGGCTGGCATTCAATTCACTATGTAGCCCAGAATGGGCTTGAACTAGTGGTCTTTTTTTTTTTTTTTTTGGCTTTTTCATTTTTACCGGTACCAGGGATCGAACTCACGACTGCCTGCTTTCAAGGCAGGTGCTTATGCCGCTGAGCTAAATCCCCAGCCCCTGAACTAGTGGTCTTGCCTTAGCCTCCCAAGTGTTGAGATTATAGGCATGAGCCACCATGCCCAGCTGTTCCTAGCTTTTAAAAATTATTTTTAGTGGGGTTAGTGCCTGCCTGGCAAATGTGAGATCATGAGTTCAATCCTCAGTACCAAAGAAATTATTTTTTAAAAAATACTTATTTGTTGTGATGTAGCAGGATTCTGGCAGGGAGTGGAACACTGAGGTGGTGTTCATTTGTGCCAGCACCGGCTTCAGTGGGTTAATACCCTAAAGGCTGAGCACTGAACATAGTGGGGTTTTGCTTTCTGTACAACTTTTGTGTCTTTGTCTCCCATCAATGGACACACTACCACAATGCAGCCAGACTGGGTACAGTCTGTTACAATGCTAGGACCACACAAGGGGGCATTTGGGACCTAACTGGGCCAGGTGGTCTTTACTGGTTCTGAGGTTCCCCTGCCCACTGCATTCCTTGGGAAGGGTCCTGCCACAGTGAGAGAGGGCCTTGCTACGGAGCCCAAGCCGGTCTCAAATGCATGATCCCTGTGCCTCAGCTCCCAAATGCTGGGATCACAGGTATGCACCTCAATGCAGCCACAGTGGTTAGGGTTAGGGTTAGGCAAGAATCCCCCTTACCTGGGAGTGCCAAATCCAACTGGTTCTACACCAGGGCCTACCCTGGCCACCTCACCCACCTGCTATGGTCCCACCAGCCTACCCTTGGCATAGAGGCCTGGGCTCTGCAGGCCCAGGTGGCAGGGCTAAGGCTCTTGAGGTCTGCTCCCCACACTTCAAAGAACCTACTCACTCTCCCCTCTTGTGCGTATCCACAGGAGACCGTGGTGCCACCTCTCTCTTGCAGTTTCTCCTGACCCTTGACCCGTGATCTAGCTCTGGGCCACTGTGACAATGCTGCCCTCCCTCTACCAGCCTCCCTTCTGGGTGCCTGCTGGGAGGTCTGTGCACAGCCTGGGTGACTTCAAGCATGGAGCAGGCTGGTGACACAGCCTTCCTGTGCAGCATCTCCCTGGGCAATTCTTTTCCGACACATTTCTTTGGAACCATGCTGATTACACCAATTCCCCCAGGAAGCCAAAAGGAGGCTAGAATGGCCCCTAAAGCAGTAGGAAGAGAGCTCCCAAGTGACTACCCCAGTCTTTCCAAGATGGGACCCGTTGGGGTTCCAGACCTAGAAGCTGTTAGCATCCCGTGACTGACCCAAAGGACTAATTGGAGGCCTTTCACAGCGTGTCCCAGGGCACAGGGAAAGCAAGGGGATGTCCTGCATCTGTGCTAATGGGGCAAGGAATGGGGCTGAAGTAACAAGGCCCAAGGTGGCCAGGTTCCATGTGTTCAGCAATGTGTTTGCTCTTTGGGAGTCTGAGACAGCCCGAGTGGATCAGTGTCTGCAAATGTTCAAGATGGGGACAGTGGGGCAGCTTGGGGCCAGAGCGCTCAGGATCATTTCCCAGTTGGAACACACAACAGGGGAGGTCGGGGATGCTCAGACACGTACCCTTCAGGGCCCACCAGAGACCCACGGCAGCAAAGCAAGACATTAAATCGAGAGGAAGACGGCATTTCCAGGAAACAGGACCCCAGACAGGAGGAGGCAGTCCTGGGGCCACAGAGAAGAGCTCCCTGCAGAGCTGTGGCAGGCTGGGCAGTAGCTGATGTACGCTGGAGGTGTGGTGTCACATGGGGTGGTGAAGTTGGGAAGCAGGTTTACCGGACAGCTGGGGAGGCAACATGACCATGGGGCTGTGGATGGGAAGTTATCAGGCAGCAAAGTTCTCATGGAGTCTGTGGGGAAGTCCACGGAAAGGTCTAAAGCACAGAAAAGGGGAGGGCTACTGTTAGAACACAGTGCTCCCTGGGGAGAAAGGCCCTGGCTCGGTGTTTTACTATCTTTAGTCCGGTGGGAATTAAGACTGGGGGTGGGAGATGAGTGGCAGAGTGTCTGACTGCAGGGTAGGAGGCCCTGGCTTTCAATTCCACACCACAAAACCAAAACCAAACACAAAAAAGTACTGGCATGACTTAGATTTTAAAACAGACATCAAAAAATGTTGGATAGCTGGGCATGGTAGTGTACACCTGTGATCCCAGCACTTCAGGAGGCTGAGGCAGGAGGATCACTGGGTCTGAGGCCAACCTGGGCTACATAGTATAGAAATACAGAACGAGACTCTGTCTCAGATAAAAACATGCTGGATAAAAACATCCTAGCACCTTGGGAGGCTGAGGAAAAAGGATGTCAAGTTCGAGACCAGCCTAGGCAACTCAGACGTTGGATCAAAATTTAAAAAGAGTTGGAGACACAGTGCAGTCCTCAGACTCTGGGTTTAATCTCCAATACTGAAAAATAATGTTGGTTAAATCTGATGTGGTGGTGCACAGGTAGGAAGATCGCAAATCTGAGCACTTCCTGGTCAGCGATTCGGCAAGACCCCATCTATAAATAAAAAATAAAAATAAAAAGGGGAATAGCTCAGCGGGAAGAATCTGGTTTAACCATCAGCAGAGAGCAAAAAATTGGGCGTGTTCGCACACGCCTATCTCAGCTAAATGGAAATTTGAGGCAGAAACTCAAATTGGAGGTCAACCTGAGCAATTTTGCGAGAGCCTGTCTTAAATAAAAGTAAAACACAACAAAACAGAAGGTGCCTTTTTGCTGCTTCTGTTCCGAGCCGAATGTCACTCCTCTAGCTCCAC